GGTGATGCCCCTGCCGATGATTTTGCGTTTGCAAATGCCACGGCGGCAGAAGGCTGGCCTGGTAGTGTTGTTTGTAATCGGTTCTGCGTAAGCTATCCTGGATAAGAGGAATTGACCGTGTGCTGATTTGAAGGATTAGGACACTCGTAACCTCTGTTGTTCGACTAATCCTACTAGTTCCATTTGTGAGCGCCAGCGACTACACTTGGGTTCTCTCCAGTGCCATAGTCTGGATGTAAGTTTGACTCGATTCTAGGCACAGCGGTGTGACTGACTCCAAGACCAGTTATGTCGAAGCCAATCTCTTAATCATTTGCGCTTCATTGACTACCCTCAGGCGCTTCTTCTTGCACGTCGCGCCCAAGTTTATTGGCGAGAGAGGGTCATCCGCTGGATATGACCTGGGGAGCAACAGAGGATCACGGCAGCATCCATTTCGCATAATAGGAACTGGTGCGAAGAAGTCGAGAAAGGTCAGGCTTGAAGTCGACATTGAAGATCCTGGGTTTGATCTTAGAACCATTGTCCAGGCGCAGCCCGTGCAGACACAAATCACAACACACGAGCCAGAGGAACAACCCGAGGAGATGATCAGACAAATTCGGAGACAGGAATCGCTGAGGAAGTTTGGCAGTGCTTCCGTCAAGACCCAGAAGTGGGACTCAAGAAAGGATAGCGATGATGAAGAGCGCGCGATTGTTCAGACGACGACTGTCACGGTAGTGTATGGGCCCAGAGAAGAGTCTAAAGGGCATGGTGACTGAAGACAGAGACCTGTCAAGAAATTTAGCATGTTCCATATAGACAAGCATTCGTCAATTGTCTCTTTCGCGTGGATTCTGCGACCTGGTAACGGTTGATGCCAGAATGCGGTCATTCATATTTGACCTTTTAGGCTTGTGAACGGGCATGTGCGCAACCAATCCTTTTCGAGTTTTAGTCCCTGGGCTTAGCAGAGGTTAACGGTCGCCTTGTCGCCTCAATTGCTGTGCCAGGTTCTTTGCGTAACTGGTATTGAGACATTTGGGCAAGACATCTTAAAGCTCGATATGCAACAGACAATGTCGGATTGTTCTGTTCTGAGCAACATCCGGATAACAGACAAACAAGCCATACATGTTCGCGAGGAGAAGTTCAATCCGATGTCTTGGGTTCCGGATTAGCTGCCGAGAGCCAAGGCTGAATGAGCATCAGCCAAGAGTCTGACTGGAAGTAATGCGGTGGGCGGAGCCGATGGAACGAGAGTCGTCGCGTCACGACAATTTTATCGTTGCCGTTATTGTCAGGTCAGAATATGATGATGTTTTTGATGGTTTGCCCAGCCGTGCGTGGTCTGTCTGGTCTTTCAGCTAAGGAATGCTCGGCATTCGTATTCGGTCTCAAGCATAACCTAGAGTGTCGCTGAGCCTCTAAGTTAGAGTCTAAGTAAAGAATCAACCCCCCCCCCCCCCCTCAGCCACGAAATGACATCACCCATCAAGAGCCCTGCATAAAAAAACGTCAGACATTTAGCGCTTGCCTCTTAGCACCACGTCATTTTTGCGACGCCCTCTGCTTGATCGAAACCTCCCTAGACCTTCCAAGCTTCAAAAGCAAGAAACATCAGCCACTCATTGTTGTCGTCAGCGCAGATATTGAGACATCCACATCAAAGCTGTTTCTCCTTGATTGGCCCAAGCCTGGTTCTCTTGGGGGAAAGCTCCGCGCTTGGCCCTAGGTGACTGCCGAACACGCTATCCATTCACTCACTGACGTATTGTATTGTGCTGTATCCGTAGAGAGCTCCATTCCTTGATGGTTGTACTGGACATAGTAAGGCTGGCCTCGATTTTTGCCCATTCTTCCTCATGAGCCACATGACTAACACTGTCCGTCATTGTTCTTTCTTGGGGAGAATCACTGCCATCTTGTTCCGAGTTCCGACCCTGCCGTGATTTAAATCTCCCATGTCCCCTGCCAGACCCTACTCTTGACGCCCCAGACCTTCCTTCTTCAACCCGACCGCATCCCGCATCCACAAGCATCTCATTTCATCTCTCGCCATACTGGTTAGAGCTCAGATAACCTATTCCAACAAAATCACATTTGAATTACTTCCAGTAGCAACATCATCATCATGGCTATGGGAATTATCACCATCGTCCACGCCGTTCTGGCTCTCTTCCTCATCATCGAGTTGGGCCTCACCGCATACCGTAAGTTGCGATGCCTCACTTTAATTTAAATCCCATCGCAAAGCTAATAATTACTCAGTCGTAGATGCGACCAACCCCAGCTGGTGGGGCGGCGGCTCTCCTCCCCAATATGCGTTCTTGCTCTTCTGTGTTGTCTGGTCCATCGTCATGCTGCTCTACCTCGCCCTCACGCCCATCTTCGCCCCTCGCATGTACCATAGCATGGTCGCTCTCGGCATCCTCGCCCTCACTTCTCTCTTCTGGTTCGCCGGTGCTACCGCCCTGGCTGCTCACATTGGCGTCCCTCACTGCCACGGACGTATTTTCTGCCAATGCGCCCAGGCTGCTGTCGCATTCGGCTACTTCATCTGGGCCATCTTCACCGGCTTGACCATCATGGAGGCGCTGGCCTTTATGCGATCGCGCGGCCATTCTGCTCACGCCGACACCAAGCCTGGTAGAGTTTAGGGGACGAAAAGTAATGGGGGATGTGTTGATGTTAAATCGAATCGCAGGCAATGGCTCGAATTATTGTATTGGTTGGCTCTCTCTTACTGTTTTATGCGAAACGGCCGCAAGATACCCTTCAGGATCTGATAACCTTGTCGGAAGTCCCCGATTATAGGACGATTTTTGTATTATGCGTTTTATGTTAGTACTCCTGTTCTAAGTTAATAAACATGCTACCGAAGCTATGTTGTGTTTGGAGTTCTTTGTCTGCGTAGAATGTCGCCTCATTGCTGTGATATACGATTTTGCCATGTGAAACGGATTACAGCTACTGATACTGAAATATTGAATTAAATCAAGCTTCGACTATCCATGTCACTCAATTGTCATGTTTTTCATCGTAGCCTCTACTGTAGTGTTCATGCTTGGCTGGTGACACTTATTTCTTAGCTTTACGTCATTCTTGTTCACTTCATATAAGTGTGACATTCAGCGAAAAGCTGTAGGGTGTGCTTGCTACGTAAAACATATGCTGTAAAAGTAGCGTTCTTGCCAGGGCACCTAGTCGCAATCACACCACAGTACCAGGCACGTAATTCAACCTATGGTGATCTTTACACAAGTGAGGTGGCCCATGGTTATGAACCTCTCTCCAAGAAGTCCAGGGTAGCCAGTAGCAGCTTTCCTCAGTCTAGTCCTAAAAAACCTTTACCACCTTCGTGCTTCTAGCCTTAAGTGTTATGATTTGTTGCTAGGAAAGGCCGCATTTGGTTCAAATCGTAATAATCATCGGACGTTGCGACCATGGCAAGATGGATATATACTGAGCTGCTTGTCGAAGTATGGCTAACTGCCATGATAGGCTGTCAAACGCGGTATTTTGTTGTACAACTTGTTGTTACCAGATTCGTCCACCTTTTGTATGCCAAGCAGTCTTCGCATCGGGCTTTATTCCTTTTCTAAACAATCTTCAACTCGTTCGCCATGGGCTTTATCATTGTATCTTCAAAACTGCATCTGGCTTAGTGCGCCATGGCTGCCATCTGATAAGGTAGCGCAATAACGCGGGGGATATGGATGATGCAAGGCCCGAGACCCTGGACGATTTGTCTGACCCATTACAAACCGTTCAAGTAAATTGGGCAAGCCTTTAAAAAGTAGGTATGACAGCGACACGTTATCTTGATACCTCGTTCCGTGGCATGTGAAAAAGTAATTAATGTCATCTTTTCTATTACCAAAAGCCTCGGCCACCGTACACAGGCTGAGCGATGTTACTATCCCCAGAAGCCTTGACCGCATTGAGCAGTCCCTGGATGAGCGAGAGCTGACAGCGTGGGTTCATCCTAACTGCTATTGTGAGAGCTATGGAGGTGGTGCTATTCTTATCAGCCATACCTGAGAGGTGATTGCTGTTTGCTAAGTTAGGATTAGCTGGCATGGATGCTTATCAGTTGCACGGCCTCCCAAATGATGATCAGACACCAAAAGTGCTAAGAAATATGATAGGTAGCAGGAAATAAAGGAGCACAACCCATCTTCAAGACCTCGGAGATATATCTTAATGATAGATCATGGACGCATGGATGGTCTTGTTTCATGACACTTTCCAGACCACTCAGGTTTATGTTGCGATTGGCAGTCTGACTCTGGCGTCCAAGACAGAAGACACACGGCAGGGAGTTATTCCATTCATCCAAGCCTCTCCTAGTTTGACTCAGAACTGGACAAATTTCGAAGAACCACAACAAAGCACTTATTACATCAATAAGAGCTTCAATAACCACCCGCTTTGACACTTTCCGAACATCCCGGCTTCGGCTATAAAACACTGGGGTCGGAAAAGCTGCCGTGGACTGCTTTTACGCTAGGAATGCCTGTGCATATCATCCCTAGCTAAACTTTGAGAGCTGCGGGCGTATTCAATACTGGCCTGCCCAGTTGGAAGTGTAGCATCGCGGTCGTGCGGCCGTATCTTATAGCAGCTTCGAGCCGATCCAGACTCGGCAACGGTTTCCAGACTATTTTTCATCCCACGAAGTTACTTCTTCCCCTGATAAAACATATCTCTGTTTATTTAACCTTCCTTAAACAGAGCATTGGATTTGGTGGTGATCCGATTTCCTGGATCCGGTTCCCATTAGTTTTCAACAGGGAGCTTATATACGTATATCCATGCTTCCTCGCCACGACGCTTTCCCTCCGAAACTCGACATTACCCAGATACCCGTTTACTCTAGGGAGAATTCAAATTAATCTCTTTAATACCAGTCCAGTTAAAGGGGGAAATACCAGGCCAACAAACGTTCGCTTCCTCTGACTGCTCTTCCACAGCAGTGAGCCACTTACATATTCACCAAACTCACATTACACATCATGTCGGCACGAAGCGCATATGCGCGCAAAAAGACCACACAGGCAAAGAATCAGGATCCTGCCAAACATGGAAGGGCCCAGTCTGTAGCCACGTCTTCCAGTGGTGAAGATATATATGGTGATATGTCAATACCGCCTAACATTGTCACCTCTGCTCTGCGATATCCTCTACAAACATCACAGAATGGTGCTGCAACAATGGGAAGCAGAGGCGACGGAACTCCAAGAGGCAGACCAATGATGTCGCCAGACTGGAATATGGATGCTTACGCTGGTAATCAAGTCACTTCACCGACGGAAGATTGGGTCCACAACCGATCGAGGAGAGCGACGCTGCCAGAGGAATATGGGAACGTAGAGAGGAGTGGATTACGGACGATTATCGACAAGCGAAGCGACGACGTGAGAAAGACAATAGCGAAGACCTTTACATTCCGCAGGAAGGAAAAAGAAGAGGAACCGATCGAACAGGATGAGACCAGCAGCCGACCAAGCGCAGACACCGTGCAACCTAGGATCATTCCTACTCATACCGAGAGCCATACCTGGGATACGCAGTCTTCGGCAAGAACAGACACAACTTTGGCATCGACCGCTTCTTACACATCTTCTCAGTACCTACAACCGCCATCGCCGAACCCGTTGCTATCTTGCAGCATACCACCTGCAGGTCCGCCACCAACCAGCAAGTTGCCTCCCATTCCCCAGACGTCTGCTGCTTCGGCGTCGCATATGAAGCGTTGGTGCGGAAGAGGAAGGCCCATCACGAAGTGGAACAAACTTCGAAAAGACCCAGAGCTATGGGACCCCAACGGAGATGTTTTGATCTTTCTAGGACGCAAAGGACAAAGCTTACCAGCGCTCCGGGTATCCTCACATATTATCGAGGCAACCAATAGTCGCTATCTTCTTAACCTTCTGGACGAAGGTTCGCTTGGTGAATATGTGCAGTCTCCTCCTTCGCCCAGGAGCGATTCATATGGAATGAGGCTCGGCCACGAGTTTCACGATAAACCACTGACACCACCTGCATCGGGACGCACGAGTATTGGGGATATGGGAGGGCAAATATCGTATGAGATGCATTTCCCACCTCCACAAAATGTCAAAAGCATCGATCAGCTGCGTCACCAGATTACCACTCGCAATGTCTTTGCGTTGCTTCTCAACACGTCGATTGTAGGACTGTCCCTACACGAGGCTCTGGCGGACCTTCACGTTCGACTCGATAGCTACATGCCCCCGAATAACGACAACGTTAAACAAATAACACGCTATATCTACAACCGTGAGCTTGATGATGTTCGGAGCAGTCCTTCTATGGCGTTGTCACTTCTCTTGTGGGCGGAGGAGCCGGATGTGCGGTGGGAAGATGGATGGAGAGAATGTTTCACGCATTGTGTCGGCATGTACGAACTCGTGCAGAAGTACAAAGACTTCAAGTGCCTGTCCCCAAACACAAGACATTTGATGGAGATGGCGAGCCATGAGATGCAAGATCGCGTTCGGGCTGCGGAGGACCGCCTTGCTGGCTTCAGGTACCAGGACATCTGGACATCCAGCCCGACGATAGGCCCCGAAATGAGGGCTATCGATAGAACGAAAGACATGCTCTTGCGACATTTCGAGCAGGAATATGGATCCTGGCCTCCCGCGCCATCCGCACAGTCGGATAGTAGGCCCGGAAGAGCAGCCAATGCTACAGGATCCGATACTTGGCTGAGCCGAACAGTGGTGATGAGGCTGCAGAGGGACTTTGGTACATTGTACGACTGTCTGGTCGATCGGGATATGGTTTGGGGCGTGCTGGAACTACAGCACAGGAGCCAGTTGATGATGGTATCCAAGTCGAATCATAAGGTTCTTGATGTGGATGCGGATGGGTTGCCTTTGACGGATATGCTTATCGAGTTTGATAACAAGTATCGCTTTCCGCATCTTCCGCACCCTTATCCTTTATTGCCAAAATCGACATCATCAACTACTACTGGCCATTCGTTTCGAAAAGAGGGTAGAAAGGCAAAAGACGACCAGATAAGCACATTGGAAAGGAGGATACAACTTGCTTACAAGGTGAGCTTCAATGACGGCGAGCTAGACTTTCAGTCTTCCGAGAATAAGCTGGTTGAAGCGTTTGAGCGATTCGAGAAGACCGACGAAATCGGGGATATGAGTCCAGCTACCGCGAGGCGTAGTCGCTGGATTCTCATTTACGGAGTCCTGCAATCGCTAGCTTCTATATCTGTGGATGATGACCGGGTACAACATAGCGATAAGGTTGACTACCACTTGAGTCCGCGGTTGGAAGGAGTAAGAATACCGCCATGGAAACGTGGGATAGGCGAGGGCATTGGCGAGGGAGCGCACGAAAGGTCATATTGTTGGACTACAGAGACAGAAGCAGAGGCCGACAAGGATAAGTACCTCGACGATGTCGATGTCGATGTCGATATCCTTGATCTACCTATACAGATGAACACGCCCGGAGCGGTAACGGACCGGAGTACGGGACTGGGTGGGTCTTTCGGCACGGGGATCAGTCCAGGACTCAAGGAAAGGATCCGCCGAGACCGGGAGAACGAGAGTCCTGTAGCTGCGGATTACTTATACACTTAATGGTAATTGTTTAATGTGATCGTCGCAAGCAAGAATACCCCACTATACAAACTATGGTGCATGGTATGACTTATTCTGAGAAGGGCGATCGTACCTGTTGATCATGATCCCCAACCACCGACCAAAAGATGTACCCTGTTGAGATGAATTCGTGCCGAGTTGATGCAAATCGGAGCAGACATACCGAAATAGGAGGACATGATCGGACTTCTGCCCACGTAGGTAGTTTACGTTTCTCAGCCTGAAACGTGCGGGACGGCCCAGTGCGCCATGCATCGCGCCTCATGCATCTCTGGATGATGTTCCTGAATAAAATAAAACGGCCGTGCGATAATTGCTGGCAGGTGTGCATAATTCACTAGCGATGGAATCTGCGACAACGACTCCGCATAGAACGGGAAAAGATTGACAAAAGTACCTAGTAATGTAGGGGTCTTGATTAAGTGGTTGCTTGGATGATTGGTTTGGGGTGCAATATTCGCATTCATTGATCCCAGCCTGCCTGTTTTTTTGTAATTATTTCCCTTTTTGGCTCGGACCTGCTTACCAGCCTCTCATTTTCTGGTGACGTTTAGAGGTGAGACTGTCTGGCCCTACAAGACAGTAAAACTTCTTGGCTAGATCACTCGTCAAAAGATAGGTCCTGATTTGCTGTTCGACCATCTTCGATAATCAATTTTGTGTGTTGCTTGTAGGATCTAGAGTGCTTGCATTATTAGTGCAGGTCGACGTCATGCTGCAATTTCGGTATCACCGGCCAGGACGAGGATTTGAGGGTGATGAGATGCAAATCTGGGGAACAATTGACTGCTGGAGACTGCAGACTGCAGACTGCAGACACAGACACAGACACAGACTTGTGTCCTGATCAATTCCTGCCCCCATATCAAGCAAGGTTCATGACGATGCGTGGCCTTCATCTCCATGCTTGGGCGCGAAATGCTCAATACGAAGTTAATACCCAAGAAGAAAAGGATGGATGAACACGACAATGGGCCCTAGAAAAATTGACTGAAGCTACCTATGGAAAAAAAAAGAGCCAAGTCCCTTAGCCGCTAACAGATGCCCAACCACTAAACATCTTGAAGCAGCAGGGGTGGCATTGCAGGGGCTATCCCACCTCCCCGTGGTCCTGCGCCATCTATTTCCAAGCACCAACCACCTCAATCGTGGTTTTGGGCGAGAAACAAAGCAAGTTTTGGGACCAAGTTTGGATGATTACTTGCTTGTGCTACATAATACGCCTTGATTCCCGCACACCCTCCTCCCATTGCTGCTTCTCAATTCCTTCTTTTTATCATCACCATCAACAATCATTCTTAACCGTTATACATATATTGGAGTTGAGCAGCGTTATCAACTTCTGTTCGACCATCAACTCTATCCGTATCTCGGTCTTTAAGTGCCTGTGCACGTCATCGCTGATCTTCGTCAAATCTCCGCTCCGCTCTTTGGTAAAACATCAACGTTCCCGTCAGCCACCTGTGTGACAGCTTTAGCAAAGAGCTGAGCTGCATAGCCAAACGCCGCCAACATGTTGTTCGCCATGTTCTTCGTCTCCTTCCGGGTTCTTCAGATCCTAACTCTGGTAAGTTGATCTACTGCACCCGTTTCCTCTGGACCGCGGACTAATGCTCACTCGAATAGATCCCGTGTATGGGCATGCTTGCCTGGTTCGTCGATGGATTTGTTAAGCAGAATGCTTTGACGCCAGACTCGATCTTGATCCTCTTCATCGTCTCCGTTCTTGCTCTTGCTTGGGCAATCTTCACCCTTTTCAGCTACCACCGCTCCTCGACAAATGCCCACTTCGTCGCATTCGTTGATGCCCTCTTTTTCGGTGCTTTTATTGCCGCCGTTTACTTCTTGCGCTACGTCCGGAACACCGACTGCATCAGCATCCGCCGTGCCGACGACTGGGACTTGTCTGCTGGCGATGTCCGTGTCATTGGCCCCGGCTACGACCTTGTCAACAACAAGCCTTGTTCCATGCTCAAGGCATGCTGGGCATTTGGTATCATGAACATCATTTTCTTCGCCATCACTTCCGTTGTCGCTTTCATGCACGGCGGACACATGAGCGCATACGACCGCAAGCACTCTTCTCGCCGATCCTACCACTCTAGCCGTCACAGCCACCGAAGCCGCTCTCGTTCCGGCTCCCGCTACAGCAGCCGCAGCCGTCCTCAGTCTCGCCGTGTTTACGTCTAAGACCATGTATGGCTATTTTGCTTCACGAGATGCACAGACCAGAAAACAAAGTACCACAAAGATCCTGCCAAGTCGTGATCTTCCCGCCAGCACATCCAATACTCCACTTTCGGAGGTGCCCAAGAACCACAATACCCCAGCCCGAAGACCTTGAGGATCAAAGCTTTGCGTTTCATTTCATGAATTCACCGCAATGTATGCGACAGGTGCCTAAACGCAAGACACCGCACCTTGCGCAAGGGCCATAGTCCTTTATCTCATGAATGATTGCGCAGAGGCAAGATTTTGGAATGGGTTACTAGACCCTATAACGATCGCCGCAAGGAAGCGGTTTAATGCATTATGACTTCTCTTTTAGAACATATTTATCACTGTTGCAAGGAATTGCATGGGGTTGCGATGAGCATAGTACTATGTCCACGACGTTCAGCTGCTCCCCATGCTTCGGAGGTAGTTAATAGAGGAGAAGCCTGAGGCAATGGAAAGGGACTATATCATAGTATTTGCCACAGTACGTCGCCCTGGAAGCTATCTCCATTGCCGATTCTTCTGTATATACTATGACTTGACTGTTAAACGAGGAAATGAAAAAGCCATGAGCTGGACTATATCAATAAATATACCTTTTCTTCAACCAGCGAAATGTGAATCGAATTGTCTTTATCCAAACGCCGTGTTATGCTAAATTGTATCACTTGTGTAACCCTTCCGTTAATGTCGGCCTGATTCACCAACTTGATATCCCCTTGCAACACCGCTTCTCCCCTCTTCAACCAGAGTGCTAGCCTCATTATCGAAATCCGTGCCTAGACCCTGCCACGTACGACCTGAGCGAAGGAACTCTGCTCCTGGGCTTGCCACACCGTTGATGCTTGCCAACTCACCAACAGTGCGCTTGATGAGAGAACTATCTTGTTGAGGAGAATCGGAGGGATTATTGCCTTTCGCCTCGGTGGCCGCTGTGGAAGGATTGTTGCGAACCGGAAGTCGCATTGGACGACTTGACGAGACGAGCTTACCCGTTCGCATGTCAAACTCGGGAGGTGCGGATTCTTCGCCTTCAACGCCCCCAGCAACATCGTCAAACTGTTCATCCTCCTCCACGACAACGTTTTTGGACTCGCCGACTGCATCCAGAGGTTTGTCGTTCAGTCCCAGCTTCTCAATACCACCCCACCACTCGCCGCCCCAGACACGTTCCTCCTCGCTCATGAGTGCGACCTCGAGCTCAAAAGGTGTAATGACTGGTCTCCAATATCCCGCGTCATCCTCAACCAGGCCACTTTCCCAGCATCCTACGACAACCCAACCTTCGATCTCAGCAAAGTTCGCCAGCTTGGCGGGGTTGAGCTTGCCCACAACGATGGTGTAGCTCTTTTTGTCTGCTCGAGAGATCTTTTCGCGGAGAGTGTTGATGGATTTAAGATAGTTCGCAACAGATAGTGTATTCACGAGGATTCCGATCACACCAGCAGAAGCGAGGGACAGGACTTTGGCAAATCGCCGACGCAGAAGACCTGCAGTTCGCATAGTTGGGTTCTCGAGAGTTGAAGATGGCGTTGAGAGGATGTGTAGTGAGGCGAAGCGCGTGTAAAGAGCGAGAAGAAGTGCAGACGGCGGGTCGGATATGTGAATGATCGAGTAGTCTTTCCAGTACTCGTCTCCGTGGACTTCATCGGTAACAACCTTGCGGTTGGGAATAAGGGCGGCAGGGTCGCGGGTCACGGCTGTTGGAACAACGTTGGTGTAACCCTCTTCTCTCAAAAGTGAAACCACCTTATCTACATGGTTTTGGTATGTCAAATCAGCCAGGATAACCAGTTTGGCAGTTTTTTCACTGAACTCTCGCTTGATCTCACTAAGGGTAACCTCATAGTCTAGATCGTGGCTTGTGTAGACGTATATGGCTGGAAGATGACTCGTGGGGCTCAGGCATGTTCGACCATAGTGAACTACCACATCCGCCGAGACATGCTCTGCAGCTATCTCGTCAACACAGCAAGCGCTGTAGCTACTGTCCGCGAGAACGTATATCCTCCTCTCCGCCTTCCCCTCGTCTGGCGCATCATGCTTGCCAAGCTCTTCCGACAAAGCTTCCACAACACGTGGAGCGTCGACCAGCATGAAATCTGGGAACTGTAAACCGACGCGCCTCCATCCCCCAGCACGAACCTCGTCGGCTGTGCGAACAACTTCGTATGTTACACGGAGGGCATCGTCGGAGAGCGTGGATTTTGGGATGGAGTCGGCGGCGGGAACTTCGAGAATATGGTCGTCCGGGGTGGACAGAACCGGGGCTGCCGAAAGTTCGGATGCCATTCTGATCGAGAGTGTAATCGACAAGAAAATGAAGGAAAGTTTTTTGAAGGTTGATGATGATCGGAATATTTTGGTGGGGTTTGGCTATTCGTTGGAGGGGAGGGTGTGCTAATGCGGGGTGATGGTGTGAATTTGGGTTGTTTTGGGTGTCCGGATTAAACCCAAGTGCCTATCAAAAGCCCATCATTGTCATCGACGTAGGCCAAAAGCACTAGGCCAAGGAAGCATGCAAATCGCAGAGTCGAATGAGGTTAATAATATATGGATTGAGTTTCCGGAGTATTTATTGTTTAAACAAGCTTCAATTGGGAAAAAGGGTCATTGTGATGTCCTGGCAAAGCACGTTGGTGAGTCCTTGAGAGGACGCAGGACGTACGACGACCATTGCAGATGTTGTGACAGATATATGTACCCCGGCGCCTGAGCCATTCGCAGAACCTTTCAGAGGTGTTTTTATGTAAATTAGCAAGAAGAAGGAAAATTACTATTGCATAAAGAGAATCCATCCTGGGAGAAAGCGGCGGTAGCTGAGGATATGTGCATATTCATTTAACTAGAAGATCCCATACTCAATCCCCGCGTGGTCCAAAACAGCAAAAGCCCCGACTACGTGATTGGAAAAGAGGCAGAATAAACTTTACAATGCCATCAAAACTGTCCATAAACCCTTTCATCGTACCTTGCACTCATCAAGCGAGTGAAACGTAGTAGGAGTCGGTGGGTTAGCAGTGACACACACCCTGGGCGGATCTGGATTAGGCAATCCGTGTACCCAATTGGGAAATCAGTGTATGCACTTTCGGTGAGAACGACTTACACGGACAACAGCATCTTGTTGAAGAGAAGGAAATTTCTGTTACTCCGTACAAGAAAGTATGATTTCTTACGCAAGTTGTTCTAGATATATTGCCGTCACTTGAATATAAATAAGCCATGATACCCCCTTGAGTAACCCCAACATTCTTGTTACATGTTCTCACATTTCACCATGGAGGAGGGTTCAAATCACCGGCACTTCCTACAACGCAAGACTATTATTGTTGCAGGTGGAGGTATCGCAGGATCAGCATTCGTTATTGGGCTACGGAAACTCTGGAGCCCACGGCTAGAGGAACCCAGGATCATTATTTACGACCGGGACTCACCGGATGTGAGCGCTCAACGCGAAGGTTATACGGTATCGCTTGCAGGTTACGACACTTCAGGAGGTCTCATTGCCCTCAACAAGTTGGGTCTTCTTCAACAAACTCTAGACAAAGCTGTTTCTGGTCTCAACAATGAGGGTGCATTCAAAATATGGGGACCTAAATGGAATGAGCAAGCATGCTTTCGACACAAGCCGCTAGATGGATTACCATCATCCAGTATCCGTATAACCCGAAAAGACCTTCGACAGGTTCTTCATAATAACTTGCGGCTTGAGGACTCGGTTCAGTGGAACTCTCGGTGCATTGCAGTCCGCCAGCTCAAGAATGGGCAGCTTAGCGTTGAAGTAGTCCGAGGAAAACCTGGATTCGAAGTCATCAGCGAAGAGATCTGCGACGTACTCATCGCCGCGGACGGCGCACATAGCAAGCTGCGAGAGTATCTTAGGCCTCATGACAAACTTGAGTTTGCCGGAGCCACTCTGCGAGGCGGTATTTCTCGATTTCAAGGCCCTCCACCTGCTCCCGTGGACAAAGATTGGGGTTTCATGCTGTCTGGAACAGGTGTATCCTGCTTTTTCTCTCCAGTTGACAAGCACAGCATCGTCTGGGGTGTTGGGGCCCTAGAGACAGAACAAATCCCAAACTTGGATGCAAACGACGACAAAGCTATACAAGAGGTTATTGAGTGTGGCCTTCGGCTTGGTGACAGGCTGCATGAGCCTTTCAACACAATCGTGGGACACACAGACCCCAAGACTGTCTTTAGCATGAATGCGCACGATAAGATGCCGTTCTCTCACAATGATAGAATGAAGACGGGGGTGGTTTTCATAGGCGACAGCAACCATGCAGTAAGCCCGTTCGCCGGCTATGGGGCTAACTTGGCATTGTCTGATGCATGGGATCTCGCGGAGCGGTTCTGCTGTTCCAGCTCAATGGAGAATGCTGTAGCAGCTTATGATGAACTATCCGTGCCACGTGCAAGAAACGTTCTAGAGGGCTCAAGACAACGGTTAAAGATAGGGCATAAGAAAGAATAATAAAGGTTATATAGAGACTAACTATATATTAGTTTAAAATTTAAAAGCTTATTATTATTATTATTATTATTTAATATAAGGTAAATCTTTTATTTTAATAAAAAGGTTAATTATTTAAATTTTCTATTTAAAGGTTTTAAAGTATAATTTATTTTTAAGCTTTATTATTATTAATAATAAAAAAAGCATTTTAATTACTATTTTAAAATTAAATATTTAATTAGTTTTTAAAATATCTTAATATTTTTATTAAATAAAGATTTTACTTAATTATTATAAAGATAGAAAAAGGTACCTATTTATAATATCTAATTAGTCTATTAATTAATTATTAATAAAACCTTAGCTTTTAATTAAAACCTAATTAAAATCTATATAAGACTTCTATATAGATAGACTTTCTTTTTTTTAAGTTTTAATATAATATAATTATTATACCTACCTAGCTTTTAATTAATTATTATTTTTATAATAATTTTAAAACTTTAACCTAAATTACTTAAAATAATAAATTTTATTAAAAATATCTTTAATATTATAAATAAATTTATTATAAAATATTAATTATATAATTATAAAATCCTTTATATAAAAAAGTAATTAATAAAAAAAGAAAAGTTTATATTTAATAAACCTTTATATTAATCCTTTAAATAATTATTAAATTAATATTATTTATTAATATAATATTAAATTTAATTTAATTTATTTTTAAGATTATTATTAAATTAATTTTAAAAAAAGTAAAAATAAGCTTTATAAATCTAAAATATAAATATATAATTTAATAAATATTTATTAAATTTAAAATTAAACTTTATAATAACTTAATAACTTAATATTTATAATAATAAAATAAATTATATTAATAATTTTAAAAACTTACCTTAAATAATAATAAAAATATAAAACTTATTAATATTTTTAAATTATTTATATTTATAAATATATATAAATATATATAAATATAATAAATAATATTATAATCTTAAGTATATTTTTTAAAATATATAAAAAAAGTTTTAAATAAACTATAAAAAGATTATTTTTATATTAAATAATATAAACCTAAAAGGCTATATAAATTAAAAATAATATTTAAATAAATAATTCTTAATTTATAAAAAATAATTAAAAAATAAATAAAAACCTTTTAAAAAATAAATAAAAAGTTTTTAAAAAATAATCTTTTATTTTTAAATTTTAATAATCTTTTTATATTATTTATATTCCTTAATTAAATTTAATATTATTATTAAGTCTATTAACTATTTTTTATATTTATTTTTTATTAAATTTATATTATTTTTACTTAATATATTTAAAAAGGTAGTTTTTAATATTATTAATATATTAATTAGGTTTAGTAATTTAAATTTCTTTTTAAAATATTTAAAAAATAATATCCTTTTTATAAACTATATATTTTTATTTTTATAATTATTATTATTAATAAAAAGGCTAAATAGTTAAAAGACTATATAATTAAAAATAATAAATATAACTTTAGTTTCTTACTTTATAGATTTAATACTTACCTTAATAATATAGTATAGGTTAATTTTATAAAGTAATTACTATAGTTATTAATCTTTATAGAGATTAAGGTAATTAATAATTACTTTAAGAAATACCTCTTAGCTATACTAAAATCCCCCTTTATATATCCTAGTTATATTATTATTATTAACTAACTAAAAGTCTTTATAGAAAGTAAATATAAAGGTAGATATATTAATTAATATCTTAATTATAATTAAGGTTAGTTTTATTAATCTAGTTATAATAGTTAGGTTAATTTATAGGCTTAGTAGGTTATTTAGTAATAAAATCTTCTTTTTATATAGGTATAAATAGGTTGATTAAAGTAAAGTATAGAGAGGGAAAATAATCTTAATAAGGGTTTTTATATTATTAAGAAATAAAGTTATAATTAATATAATAAATACCCTTATTAAATTTAAGTTATTATTACTTTTTAGTCTATATAAAGACTTTTATTATTTATATTCTTATAAGTTTAATTAAAATAGTTAGATCTTTTTTCTTAAGGTATTACTATACTTAATATAAATTATAATTACTTTATTTTAATTAAAAAGTATATTTTAAAAAGAAACCTTAAAACTTAAGTATATTATTTTTATATTAAGTTATTTTTTAATATTAAATTTATTATTATTTTTAATAAAATTACTTTACTAAAGACCTAAGAAAAAATAATTACTTTAATAATTTATATTTAAAATAGTTAAAAGTATAATAAAAGATATTTAATAGCCTTAAAAAAATACCCTTATAAAGTTAGTAAATTAACCCCTAGTCCCCCTTTAGTCTATATTACTAACCTTTTTTATAGTTATTACTATAATAAGTATTACTATTTAAGTAATAAATATTTACTATAATATAAGCCTTACTTTAATTTATTTATATTAAGTTTAGTAATACCTTTAAAAAAAAGATCTAACTATCTTAATTAAACCTAAAGAAATATTAATAATAGAGGTCCCTATATAGACTGAAAAATAATAATAACTTAAATTTAATAAGGTTATTTATTATATTAATTATAACTTTATTTCTTAATAATATAAAAACCTCTATAAGGACTACTAGGGTTATTTTTCCCTTTTTATATTTTATTTTAATTAACCTACCTAAGATAAAATAAAGATTATAATAAGTAACTTACTAAGACCTTTAACTTATTTATAAGTTAACCTAACCGAATTAGATTAATAAAGCTAACCTTAATTATAGCTAATATATTAATTAATACCTTACTTACCTTCTATAAAGACCTTTAGCTAGTTAATAATAATAATATAAATAGGGTATATAAAGGGGAATTTTAGTATAGTTAAAAAGTATTTCTTAAAGTAATTATTAATAATTAATATAGCTATAAATAGTTATAGTAATTACTTTATAATAATAATTTATATTATACTATTAAGGTAGGTATTAGGCCTATAATTTAAGAAATTAAAGTTATATTTATTATTTTTAATTATAAAGTCTTTTTATTATTTAGTTTTTTTATTTATAATAATAACTATAAAAATAAAAATATATAACTTAAAATAAAGATATTACTTTTTAACGGTCTTAAAAAGAAACTTAAATTACTAGGCCTAGTTAGTATATTAATAATAATAAAGACTACCTCCTTTAATATATTAAGTAAAGGTAATATAAATTTAATAAAAGGTAGGTAGGTATAATAAATAATTAATAGATTTAATAATAATAATAAATTTAATTAGGTATTTTAAATACTATAAAAAGACTATTAAAGTTAAAGTTATATAAAATAGAGTTTTCTATTAAAGGTTAAAAAGTCTTTTAATTTAAAAAAAGAAATTATTCTAATTAATTAACTAAGATTATATAACTTAATAACCCCTCCTTATAGTAATTAAATAAAATAAAAAGTATTTAATAGTAATTTAATTATAATAGAATTAAATTACTTTAATCTATAAAATTATTTAATAAGTTATTAATAATTATTATAATAAATAGAAACTAAACTAATATCGTTACTATACTTAGGGGCAAAATAAAGGTATTCTATAGTTATATATCTCTTTTAAGAAGACCTAAGCTTAATACTACTTTTATAAGTATACTAAGCTTAGACCTCTATAGTATAGAATATCTATATTTCCGGTACCTTACTTAATATAGTAATACCTTTATATATTAAATGCCAGCCGTAAAAGGAAAATATTACTATCTTTAATATAAATACTATAGAATTCTTTATATTATAAGGTCTTAATTATTTTATACCTAATGTCTATTAATTATTATTTTTTAGACTTTTTTTATTTTTTATTACGGTAAGGGCTATTTTTTTTAAACTATTTTAAATAATTATAATAGAAATTTATAATTAAATCCTTAATACTATTAGTAGTTTATACCTATTAATTATATTAAGGTCTTTATCCTTTCTATTATAAAAAGAATCCTTTAATTAGTATTATATTTTTTTTAAACTATTTAACTTCCTATTATAGAATATACTTAATAATATACTCTTTACTATTTTTAAAATCTCTTTTTATAGGATTTAATTCCTCCTCTCTATAGTTATTAATATATATAGGTATAAACTATTAGACTAAGATAATTAAATAAATCTTTATATTATTAAGTAATTAAAGCTTATAAGTTAAGTCTTTAACTATTTAGATAATCTTAAATAGGCCTATTTATTATTATAATTATTTCTAAGGAGGATTTTTAGGTAAGTAATATTTATTATAAAGTTATAAATAAATATAATTACCTTTCTTTAATATAATAGGTTTATATTTTTTATTATAGACTTATTTTCTTTTTATAGTAATAAAGTTAATAATAAATTAGGCTTTTTTTTAAATAGTTTTTTATAGATATAGTAAGTTAGGAATATTTTTTATAAAAGTAATTATATTTAGAAGATTTCTAGGCTTAAAGCTATAAATATATTTATATATAGAGGTCTTTATGCTTAAGTTTAAGGCGCTATTTAGATTTTATTAAAGACTAAAAAGAAAATATATTTAGTTAATATAAAGGTTCTTAATATAATAAAATTGTAAGGTAATTTTTACTATTTAGTTTTTTCTTTTTAATAAATTATCTACCTAAGGATAATATATTATTATTATTATTAAATACGTTTTAAACTTATTTTATAATTACTTTTAAAACGGTAATATAAACTTATAATCTTTATTAAATATAATTACCTTTAGTATTCCTTAATTTAATAAGAGGAGTTATTATAAAAAGATAGTTATTTAGTTTATAGTAAAGTAAGTAAAATAATTAAAAATAAGGAAGGTTTTTTTATTTAATATATAAATTATTATTATTAATTAATTATACTTTTTAAATTTATTTAATATTTAAGGAGTTCTTTTTAATATTATTAGGGGTATATTTATAATAAAGCTAATTATAATTATATATATTAAGAAAAAAGGTAATTAAATAGGTAAATA